CCAGGGCATCATCCATAGTGGTAAAACAGGTTGGACTGCTCAAACGTGTTTTTGGATCGCTTGAGCCGGCTTTGTTTCCACGTCTGTTAGCCACATATATCCGTCCATAAACCGAGTACTTAATTCAAGCCTGGAACCCATGGCTGCAGCGAGATCGGAAGGCACTCGAACATCCGCAGAGAATGGCTACCAAGATGGTCAAAGGTCTACATTCCAAGACCTATGGCGAAAGATTACAGCTCTTGGGGCTATACTCGTCTCAATATCGCCAAATCAGAGGCGATCTGATCTTACTGTATCGGATTTTCCAACAGCTCAACCATCCATGTCGATCTCTTTTGGTTCTATCAACCAATGTTCATCTCAGAGGGCATTCACTGAAGTTGGCACTCCAAAAGAGCCATCTCGACCGCAGACGCCATTCGATTGCAGTCAATGTGCATCAAATGGAACTCTCTACCACCTCACGTGGTCTGTGCGCCAATATTAGTTTCTTTCAAGCGTCAGCTTGATGATGCTCTGGCAAAGTTTATGTTTCAGCACCCAACTACATAATATATTCTCCTGTGCTCGTCAAAAACATTACATTGCTATTTTACTTTCATGGACTCAGTGTGATCTTGTGAATCGTGTTCCGAACCAAAGTGTAAACACCTTATGGGATTTGATAGGCAAAGTCTTTGTAAGTTTTTTCCCATAATGAAAATTTGAATTTGAAAATAGTATTCGCAAGCTAACCCCACAGCAAAATCCTACAAAAATCAATAAAAGTCTTTTGATAACGAAGGTGAGCTGGACAGTAAACGCCTTTTGTTACAAAGCAACAAGTCACATGAGTATTCCTAACTTTTATTCCAGAGTATGCGCTTGCAAGCTCTCATATTTTAACCAACTACTAGAGTATCATTTTTATTTTGAGAAAATTGCATAATTCACCTGTAAAACAACGGTACTTATTGATCTGCCATCAACGAAGAGGACTACGTTTGTTATCATTGTATAATAACTGAATATAGGGAAGAAAAAAGGCAACATGAATCCAAAAGGGTCTGTCGTGTATAGGGAATCTTTCACAGAACCCTCCCATTGAATTTTATACAGTTTCGGAGTTTTCTGCATAAAATGTACCCGTTTTGATAATAATTGTAATTGTGATTTTCAATTTCTTATTGGTCTTTAATATTATTTTTTCGTATCAGTGCACTTAAGCAAATTTTCAAACACAAGCACTTTCCTCCTCTACGCTCTTTTTTATCGTTGGTTCTTATAGTGTCGAAAAACTACGTTCGGAAATTCCTTTTGCCCTCCATCATTCTACAAATGCCCCTATGTGAACTGTGTTGCCTGAGTGGAACGCTGTTTTCTTTGTGACAGAGTAGCTCACTCATGAAACAGTCAAAAGATTGCAAAAACGGAATATGTCTGATGTCTCAGACCCAGCTAATTGTCCATATCTCTAAGTTCGCCTGGGCGACAACTTCTAATGAGGGTAGCTAACCGCGTTCCGCTGTGGTCGAACGACCTCATGAGCCAACCAGGCGCGAAAGGTCGAACGTTGAACAACAGTCACTTGGAGCTACCTTTCATGGCTCCAAACGCACTCAAAACTAGGTTTACGATCAACCGTAAAAATACATTTGAGTTACAGTACTGTAGTACTGTAGTATCACGACGAGACTACACCTTGACGTGGTGTGATGGCTTGTGCACCTCTATGACCCAACGAGCTACACCGGGTGGCTTTTATCAAGCCAGGAGATCTAATCATGCCTGGAAGGTCAGTGGGTAGAGGTCAGATTCAGTTCAGTCTCCTGGTCCTCCAGGTTGTGGGTTCGACTGGAATCGGCGTTTCAGTCGGTAAAAAGCTGTGGAGGAGTAATCGATCCTAGTAAATGGACCTCCAGTTCGCCTCACCCTCTGCATTGCGGTTAGGTTCATGTTAGAACTAAAGGCTTTGGACGAGAACCCTAATCATTCTTCTGCTTAGTGGCTGGACACCCTGGCAGTATCCGTACATAAAGCTCAAATGAACACACAAACAAAAAATAATTCCATACTGCATCGGTCTTCTTGCAGGATAATCAGGACCGCGCTGCCTTTTGCATCGAGCGGGGTGGGTAGTGATAAGTGGACTACTGCTCAGATATCCCAACCTTTGTTTAACTCTTTGTCTTCTGTACCCTATCCCTTTACTCCTTCTTTCGATCCGTGATAGTCTCTCCCAGTAAGACAGTTATGCTTGGACGTATTTGCGCCGTGAACCGGGCAGTTTCTTCGTGATTCCAAGGCAGTCAGCGTGCATGTAACCCATGGACAACACAGTAGTCATATTGACATTTAAATCCCAAAACGATGANTGAGGTGCCGATAGGATGTTACTTTCTTTTACGTATTTGCAAATGATAGTGGATTTCCCAGGAAGAACCAACTGCTTATCTATCTCAATGTCCCTTTGAGTGCATCTCGAGCATCAAACATAGCTCAATTGAGGTTTCATTTGTTTGATGAATACTTTTGCCGGACCATCGGTGATAGCGCTCCTAAGGAATACGCGGCACACTTTATTTCATGTCGGTCATTGCAACCAACTGAAGATATTTTCCTATTCCTTTCACTTAAGACAAATAGTATTCAACGTTCTAGAGTGCAGATATCATAAGGAACACATGGGGTATAATTTTAGCCGTCACTGGTGTTTTGACCCTCGAAAGACAGAAACTATGCAGTTGTATTTCAATGATTGAATCTGTGATCCTGAAATTAGCCAATTAAAACTTGCAATCCGTTCTCCAATCTAATCTAATATATATAGTACCCATTACCAACGGAGTACTTTTGTGTGAATCTTGGTTTCCCGTTGATGTACGAGAATCCTTAAACAAGTCGGTTATTAGCTGCCTAAATCCCCAAAACATAGTTCTTAAGTTTGCTAAGGACATGTAAGCTGCTGAAAAATGTGTTTTTCAACAGATCATGGTGAAAGGTTGTTCTGTAAAACTTCATATATGTATATATATGTATTATTCATGATTAGAGAAATTTATAAATATAAAGGCTTTGAAATCTATTCTTCATTGATATGTGATCGAATGTGGTTAGTAAGATATTGTCTATAACTGCTAAAGAAAGGACTTGTTTTCATATATTGTTTCAACCCTAAGCTTACCATGAGACGCATCATGTATCTACTCAATTGGAACACACGAAGATCAGAACTCAGCAGTGTACCCATGAATCTCGCGTATGCTCATACATGTCATTAAGGCACTTGGATTTTAGCAAAATTAGTACACGAAAATATTAATTCAAACAAAAGCTATTCAACTTGTTCAATTACAACGGATTCCACTTGAAGAAAAAGTGCACTTCGGCCTGACTATTGATATTAATGAGAAAATACTTAGTTAGTAGTAGTAGTTAGTAGATTGTAGAAAAAACTTGACAAAGTTTGTCACCAATAGTTTCGCCTCGTTTTTGCTTTACAGGACTACGGTGCTCATTAATTGGACACTGTTAAGAGGTCTTTCGTAAGTACACCGTTAAATAAGGCACTGTTTTGCCTATAAATACAGAGTTTACTTTAGTCGTCTTACATTGCAATACCACCTTCCTGGGTCTGATCGTCAAACATAACAGAGAAAATGCGTTCGTGGTGGTAAGTTGACGTAAAATTTGTTGATCAGAGTGAGTTGTTCATACATATATATATGCATTATTTAACCTAATTAATTAAAAAATGCAGCTAGTGGTCCGATATTTGAAGTTTAAAGGTATTTTCGTTGAATAAAACCAAAGTTGATATTTTATAAACTGGAGTTACTAACCGTTGTTATTTATTAACTAATTGGGTATCTTGCCAATCGTGTGTTGGAGAAAGGAAATATAACTTTCCTTATTATCCGTCCTTAATGCAGATAAGTTTTCTCTACAGACATACCTAAGTATATATACTGCACGAACTCCCGAGAAAAACCCTAATTATTCCGTTCTATAACATAGTTATTCTCAATTATGCAATTTGTTTCATAACATTACTACTCTCGCTGCTTCACTATAATTGTTACCAAAACACACTGTTCATTATATCTGATTTCATATTTGATTTCATGAAGTTATGTAATCCAACGGTTTTCAAAAAGGGCAGAAATGAAGGTAGTTTAGCGTAAATTTAACCCTTGGGGTATTTAAGAATTAACTTGCTTTCACTACGCATTTAATGAAATATAGTTTAATTTGATGTATTTATTTAAAAAAGAACCTTAGGCGTTTATCTGATTATTTCATAGTATGTTGTAAACTTTTCAGTGATACAAGATTCCTCGTTGGTCCAAGGGTTCAAGCTATATACGGACACAAGGCGGTATTTGCATCTCGATGTTCGGCAATCAGTACCATTTTACTACCAAACAGCACTGAACTAATGCAGTCTGCACGTAGCTCACATCTAATCAAAGATGTAGAACCCGACGTTTTTCGTCTAGTGTCCCGTTTTATCTACACAAACTGTATCACATTTGAAAATCTGCACACCAGTAAGGTATGTGATAAATTTTCCTTTCTTACTGAGTTCATTCAGCTAATCGAACTTATGTATGCTGCTCTGCGATTTCAGCTTACGGAACTCGCTAAAGTAATGAAAAATCTGACTACAATATTGAGTGATTTCTTACCATTCCAACTAGCTCGTGGAATCTCATTTAGTGAGTCTCATAGACGACAACACCGTCTTTGACCTTTTGAATATCGCTGTGAAATATAAGAGTACAGATTTAGCTAGTACTGCTATGGCCTTCATTCAGACAAACGGATCGGTAAGACCTTTTCTCGGTTTTCCAATTTTTGTTCAAAGTTATCGAAATTTTATTTTGAAATTTACTTGTACGTTTCTCCTTTTAATAGAGCGATATTTATAGTGTCATGCATAATCTCTATCAGACCTGATATTTTAAAGGTAATATTCTCATACCAAAAGCTCCATCCTCTCTGAGGTTGAGTGCTTTAGTGAATGGATCAAGCAGTTGTTCTGAAGCACTGCAGAATGTTTTTAGTCTACTGATTCCAGTCCTAATGTTTATCATATTACTTCCCTTACGGGGGATCTGAGGATTGAATTGAGAAGTTTGGAACTGTACATCCGGGCACTGATCGAGTCGATGAAACACAGATAGATATATCGAATAGAGTAGTCAGAATGATTTGGTTTCAGACCAGTATAGACGAAGATTACAATTCAACTTTGCAATATCTTGAAGGTGAAAGTCACCTATGTGAATTGGTGATTTCGTGGGTTGTTGAGACTGGAAGCGTCCCGATTTCTTCTGCATTATACGATAATTTACTTTACGTCAATTTCTCCCATGACTGTTAAGGTAGTGCGAAATCAAGACACTTAAAGTAGCAAGTATGCTTTTATGCTTTTTAACTACTTGAATTACGTAGAATACGAAAACAAAATGTTTGTTATAAAAGAGCTCATTTGAAAATTCCTCAATATACAATATTTGCCCAGGCAGATGTTGAATTAGTAAACCAAGTGTGATTTGTATTAAGTAAAGCAACAGATTGCATTGATCTGGTACCATCCTTTTGGAGTCAGCTAGTACACCCACTTATGAGTTATTCCATGTTATCATTGGTCTGCCTCTTCCGGTTGCCATGTTGTTAGTTATGACCTTGTAAGGAAATTGTCGATAATGGTTTAATGTATAAGAAAAAGAAAAGAATACTGCAATCAGTCAAAACATATGATATGTGTGCATCGAGATTAGTACAGTAAAACTAAAATAGACGCATTAATTGTATAGACTATGAATCTATGTGGGACACACACTTAATCATCGAGACAGGATCTGACTGGGCAATTGAATTTCTGCCGGGAGGTGGCGGCCCGGTGGTTACGTCACCAAATTATCACCCCAGGGACGAATGTTCGAATCCCACCATCACCACCTAACTTTCCCCATTGGTGTGTTGTATGGTACCCCTTTGATCGGCCGCCTCCCCCTTCCTGAAAGTTGTATCACTGTGTATTCAATAAAGTAAGTAAAGAAGTAAAAATGAAAAAAATTAGTGGACTGATGTACATGAGATACAAATTGGTTTTCTTCGATCGATACCGAAAACCATAATTCATACCATTACATTGCTGTCAGTGGGATGCTGATCATTGATCACAAAAACGAATCCTTCCTTTCTTGTTATCATTTTACTTTATAATAAAAAGCCTCGGATCGATAGGATAAAACTGAAAGACAAATCCGACTTTATGAATAAAAACCTGTCAAACCATTTTAAAGATCGTTTAAAGTACAACTTTAAACAAACAGAATGAACGAAACAAAATTCTTTTCAACAGAAACCAAAATTTCAAGTCCAGATTGAAAACGTTATAGTGTTCCACCAGAACTGATCCTTTGTTTGTGTGTGCATGAAATGAGATGAGTAGAGTTATCATTGGTATATAGAACTGAAGTGTGATGAAATAACGATGTTATATGTTGAATCACACTAAGATAAGAACAATACTAGCAGTGCTAGAACTTTGAACAGTTTTGACCAAGTGTTTCATCTGTACGATATGAACTCTTGCAGAAATTTGAAGTGGCAGCAAGTCCGATGAGAGGATGAATCCAGCGACACTAGCTGAGTCAAAAAGTCAAATGATTGGTAAAAAATCAAACAGATTATTCTCAAGTAACTACGAAACAAGAGCACTGTGTTCATGTTTTCCTCCATGATTGTCCTCGATGGTTACTATTATTAATATAATGTAAAGAACTCTTGTCTCTTACCGCTTTTTTGACAGCTTAAAGTCAAGAACCGGGTTTCTACGGATCAGCACACTCGGTTTGAGATTTACTACTTCTTTTATGGCGAATACTTTTGGGTATACTAACTATAGAGAGCACAATGAAAATGTTACTATGTGAGAAAAACCCGTCAGGTATATTCTACACAATACCCCTCTTACTTTATTCTTTAACGTGTTTTACTACAAAAATCCAAATTCCTCATTGCCCATTACGCATAAACCGTAATGCTTGCATCACTTAACAAGCTTTAACATGATCCATTGTTTTCGGAGTTTTTCCTGATCTGGCAGTTTGGTTCAAAGCATTGATTCGTGGAATTTGGATGTATGTCTTGTACAGTAATTAACTTCCGACACCATTCCTTCCTAGTGTCACAATCTTGTAACCCCCTTCTCCTGACCCGCTCACATTTTTCTGGCTCAGAGTTTGCTCAATGCGAGCAATCCGGCTATTAACACTCTCACTCCAGCCGCAATGACTATGATTCTTCAAAGTGATGAGCTTCCCGTGGATGAAATGACTCTATTCCTAATGGCCGCTGAATGGGCCGAAGTTTACTGTCTTAATGACGGACAGCAGTTTAATCAGATTTCGCGTAGCAAATCAAGCACACGCGCTTCATTAAATCCGCTAACAAGTTCCAAAACCAATCAGTGGAGTCCCCGATCAACTTTTCACGGATCATTCGGTGCATCCACAGTCAGGTCTGCAAGAAAAAAACGAGCAAAAACAAAAAGGTTGGTATCGGAAGTGATGTCAATGATACGATACGCATTGCTAACTCCGGATCAGTTGAGAGAAATCGAACAAAAGGAGGAGTATCGGGAACTCATCCCAGTGAGTGGATAGATTCAAACTGGTTGTTCTATGGATTTTTTTATAACGCTTTTGTCAGTAACTGTTTGAGTATATATAATATAATACTGATAATAGAACTGTGTTACTCAAAACGATTTCCCCGGAAGCACATAAACACAGGGTGCGAGACTAAAAATGGGTTAAAAGTAAACTAAAAACGCAGAAGACACAAAAATAATCAGTTTTTGCTCAAAGTTAGCAACATTCTTGCTTGCGTACTGCATATAATTTCAACTTTGTTTGTGTTTTTACTTTTGGGATTGAAAAAGGAAAAATTGCATTTACACCACTGACTTCCGTTTAATGCCATATCCCGCAATGTCTCCAGTAGAATCTGAATCTTTGCGGCCCCAATCTGGAAGCCCCGAAGGAAGCTAGATCGGAACACAATTTTTTCAACCCCGTACGCCACGTCATAGCCCACCCACCTCGCTGTTTCTTTCAGTCCGGATCAATGTTTGCTAAAAGTGCTCGGCAGAGCAGACGTTGTTTAGGCGGTGCAGTGAAATGAATACGCTCAGCGACTGACTTTCTGGCTCTGACACATTGTCTGATCCCATCGTTAGGCGATGCTTCATCCATACGCATAAAACTTTTGCGTAAAAAACGGTTGTCGAAGACGACAGTCGTCTGATATGATCGGCTTAGATTAACCACGTTTCGTAATTGCAGGACAACGGGGCACGTACCGTTGTATGATGTACATGCCCTTTCCATGAAAGGGATAAGTTACGCCGATACCAGCGATGTCGCATATTAGCAAACGCCCATCTTGCTTTGATTACACGTTGAGAAATCTCGCCCAAACACTTGCACCAGCTGTTATACAACTCCTGAGGTAGACAGGACTGTTGAATACTTCCAGGGTGTCATTACCCAATGAAAAAGCAGAAGTTTCCTGCCAATCTTGTAGCAACACCTTGAAATTAGACAAAATAAAAGGCATACCATACCGATCAGCCCCGAATTCCCAGCATTTCAGCATGTTTGGAATAGCCGGTGTGTTGTCACCGAATAAGGCAATACCATAAGTATAATCCAAGGCTGCGACTCTGCCTATAGGAAGAAGCTCAATGCCAGGTTTTTTTTCTGGTCATCATCTGTGGTAAAGTTGAAGATAAACGGAAAGGTGGGCAATCGTTTCGCACCCCACTAGTGACGGGTGAGAACTCACCATAGATCCCAAACTTTTCCGATTTCTGATTGTAGAATACTTTCAAACGTAGGACATACTTCTCGGGTACCCCGTATCCTGGTAAAAAGGTTCACAGGGGAGGGTGATCGATGGAGTCAACAGCTCCGATGTCCAAAACAGCGCGTTAGTTTGCCACCTATGCGTATGTTTGTGTTCCAGTAGCTGACGAAGGGGGCACATTTAATCTGTGCAACCCAGCCTTCTCTTCGCTGATTCTTCTTTCACGAATTGGATTTAGTCTGCTTGATAAAACGGACGCTGACAGCTCCGGCACTGATGGAATCAGTGATTGGAACGAACATAGCCACAGTCCTTCTTGTTAATAGATGTAAAACTATGTAAGGGTACAGATTCATCTTACCAGGTCTTCGGAAATGATGAGACAAGCTCTGTCACGAAAAATTATCCATCATCTTCAAAAGGCCAGTGGTGGTTTGTCTGATGCAGGCTCCCTGTAGCTCTTCAGGGTTTGGGCCTCCTTTCAGATCTCCGGGTAGGAATATTCTCAAGAGAACTACTTGGAGTAAACTGCCCGGGAGACTGGTTGAACTACTTTGTGAAGTGTTTTACTCAACGTCCCAAGCGCTATCGATACTGCACGTTGGCGAGCTGTCTATTTCGTAAATTGTCTCACCGTTTTTTGGGGATAGTAACACGGATGAGCTGGAAAAGCTGTCTATTGTCTCCACAACTAGCTACTGATTCCATCCCCTTTGCACGTAGCGACTAGCAGGCTTTTCGGTCGTTTCTCAAGCTCTTCGTGAGTTTGCGCCTCGAAGATAAGCGATATTCATTGGGCTTTCTGTCTACCGGGGTTACCCGACGCCCATGAAGAAGTCGGGGGAGTTACAATTGACCGCTGAGATCACAACTGTTTGGATTTTCTAGATGTTTTGCGTTTCGATTTGTTGCTCAGTTTTGACCTGCACTCTTTTATGTGATAGTGGTTAGCCTGGCTGCCAACTCGCTTTGATAGTCAAGGAGCACGATCGGGTCAGCAAGCGTGAACTTGTCAAGCTGTTTACCTTTCACTCTTTTCTGCCACCAACTTGCTCAGAAAAATTTGCACAAACCAGTACTTGGACAGAATATACGCAGGTAGACCAATAAAACCGACAGCCTTTCACACTCCATCTCTATTTGTAGCTATTTACTACGTGATCAATATGAGTCCACGTCTGTCCCGAAGGGGGGGGGGGTGAAGTGCCGCTTTGTGTATTTGAAGTTCGTGCTAACGAGAAACAGACTGCGTTCGGAGCATATCTTCATTATCTGAAAGACAGCTATCGAGACCATGATGGCTGCCAAGAAGAGCCTCATAAGGCGACAGACGGCCAGAGCATGTGTTTAAGTTTCCGTCCAGAATCAGGATATTTGTCTTGGAAGGCGCTCATATAAGTTGTGATAGAAGCCAATTTTGGCTGTATCCGGGCTACAGTCTGTGAAAGCAAATGCAGAAATCACGAATAAGCAACTTCAGTTTGATTCCTCTTTTTTGATCTTACATGAACCGCGGAGGCTCACTGGGCATATTTGACTGTTTATCGGGATCCGTTTTACGTGTGAGTAGAAAAATCTGGGATAGCCTTGAATGTATTTGTCTATGGTCAAAGTGTGGGGATGATAATACACGGCTGCCTTCAAAAATTCAACTACTTTAAAGAAAATGTAAGTTTTCTGCCCGAATTTACCCACTTACCCAGTTCGGTTATACTTTTAACAACTTCGCAAAAGAAATTATCCGGAATACTGGTGATATAGTGAACATTTCAATAAGGTGCAAAGATCCGTATAAATATTTGCCCTTCTTGTCACCCTTAACACCAGACCGGAACGGGTGATCTTTGTGGTGCTCGGGAAATTGCTGTGACAACCAAATCGTCCCATTCTGAAGTGGGTACTAGGGGCTAAAAACGTTTCCAGTGATACACAAAACATACTGAAAATTGTTTTTTCTGCTGACTGGGACTCTCGTCCCTATTGAAACTTGAACAATCTAGAGTATGCCGGAGAACGATACATATACTTCCACGCATTCCTACTCATGCACACAGGCTTGAATTTTATGTAGGAGCTGATTGAGCGAATGAAATTTTATTTAAATCTATTACTCATTTGGATACGGTAAACACTCTTCAGTTAATTCCATATTGCCATACCTAGTCTTTTCATTTATATTATCTTGCTAAAGGTAGATAAATTATTATTCGGTTGAAATGCATCACACTTTTCTATTTTAAACTCATTTTGTATAATACGCTGTTCTATCCATTCATTACAGACTAAATGTCTCGCAGATGCCTGGCGTATTTTGACTTTCAAACAAACCGGTGGCCATACGGACAGTTCATCGAGTTTACCAACCACGGTGGCAAAACGTAGAGCAGGCTCGTTTGTCGGGACCAAGAAAAAGCAGAATGGTGAAATCTATTCAGCTTGAGGATTTTTCTTACATGCACCGCATCAAGGAAAGATTACCGGAAGTGCCCCTTCCACTTAGTTGCTTCTCTGAAACTTGCTTAGGCTCCATCAAAAAGCATCCCGAACTGGAAGTGTATATCTGTGGTTAACGTGACGAGCACCAAAACCACAACATATTTGCATTTACGTCTAAGAACTACCTAAATGCTGTTTAAGTAGTCAAAAACAAAACACGGAATGTCTTGTCTTCAACGTTCGCTGAGTTATCTCTTGATCGTTTCATTTACCACCGTCACAGATCCAATCCAGAGGTAAGTAACCTTCAAGTGAATGCTAAATTGAAATTCTTCCGAAGGTCTTGCAAAGTGATGTTTGGTTATATGAATGGTGGTGTTATGCTGTAGAAAGGAAGATATCCTCGAAAGAAGTCAAAGATAGGTGATTTGTTTCATTTAGTCAATGGCAATTTACATGATCTTCAGCTCGGGTACAGGTAATAATGAGGGTAGAATTTTCGGAAAACTCCAAGGAAACAGTAAATAAGACTATAAGTTATATCTTTGTATCGTAACTGTCATGGTTTACTACACACTGTCTCGCAGAATACGTTTATTTGATCCAAGCTCCGCATTACAGTGGAACACAGGTCCGTGATCGTAGATGAAAACTGAAAATCCCTTAGATATGCCGATTAATCTGGGGACTTGTGAAGTTTAGGTTTCGATAACTGCATTGGTTAGCATTCCTTGCTAAATCTTTTCTCCGATTGTTGAAAGGACGGACATGCTGTTTCTTTTTCCCTGAAGGCACCCACATTGCGGAATGCTATTTTCTTACAGATATACTAGCGTCTTCTTCTCGAGTATCCTTTTAGTTCATTGGCTCTCCAATGAACGCTCCCAGATCCTCAACATTTGATTCGCTTGATTGGCGTGTCATTTGTTCTACTAAAGTCTTTTGTGCTTGTTGAATATGAAAACATTCCTAAAGAGAATATACCAACGGAATATGAGTTTATTGAGCAAGAATAGTGATAGGTTTCGGGATAGGTTCGTGCATACAAAACATATCCCAGAGATAAAATAATAAATTCGGTTGAAAATATGGAAAGTAAGGGATTGAAGGAGAATATAATTTCATTTCACCTGTTCGCCGAGTTTGTCAATTCGTTTCGAAAGGTTTTAAACGTTTTTAAATTGTTGACACTGTGGTTATGTGGTTGCTGAATATCCACCCTTCGAGAAGTATGCTGCGAATCCTTGACTGGACTTGACTTGACTTGACTGACTGACTATCACTAGCCGAGATGTCATATTCAGTGCTTGTGATGTGGTGATGAAACGTTTGCAAACAGCGAAATGAAATTCAGTTCACCCGCACTACGAGAACGGATTCTCAATCTTTTGTCAGTAGAATATATATTGACAATCACAGAAATTGTTTCGTATAAAATACCAAAAAGCTAGAACTGAAAAGCGGAAGGCGGCGGCCGTCTGGCTGTTATTAGCACGAACACGTTGAACCCCTGAAACTGACCACATCGGAACTATCATCATTGATCACGGAGAAGCAGTTTGGCTCATCCTATCTGTTTACAAAGCACCCTGCACCGGAGAAAGACAGACGAACATCCAGTTTAAATGAAAAAAGGTCTACTGTTTTTCTTGTTTCACTTATCCAGAAAAATGAGAACCGTAAATGATAAATATGATGCTCACAGTGTTAACCGTGCCTACAAACTTTTCACTGAATGATTTAGCATGATAGACATGGGTTTCCGGACATTTCAGCTCAGCTCAGTTCTTACAACCATTAACCATGCACTTTTGTGCGCCGGTTTTTGGTTGCTGTCTTTCGGTTGCCCATTTGGATAAACACCAGAATGATGATTAGAATGCTGAGAGCAGNCACTGTTTGCAACATCCAGCCATATTACTCAGTGTAACTAACCATCGGTAACTATGATCTGGGAGTCCCGAGCCAGGGAGTTTAACGGGATCTGTGTGAGCCAGTCTCCTGGTCAGGGTTTTCATACCCTCATACCAGATCTTAGTTTGACCACCCTTGATTTTTTTCCAACCTCTACCAGCCTCAGCAAACATCGCTCGCCGTGGCAACCTATCTGGTGACATGTGTAGCACATGTCCCAACCAGCGTAATCTATGGAAGTCGACCACTTGCTCCAGTGGTCGACCGCGATTACCTAAAATTCTACGCCTAACCTCAGTATTCCTCATCCGGTTTTCCCACCAGACAGCGGTATTCGAACACCGACAGTCTATTTCTATTCTGTTCTCATAGTGGCTAAGTTTCTGCACCGTAGAGCAGGACTGGTCGAACTGCGGCAGCATATACTCGACCCTACACAGACAGCCGGATATCGTGATTAGAGGATGCTCGTTCAACCAATCGTATGGACTATTACATTCTATAAAACATGATCTAATTCCATCAATAAAGATAAGCATTTGCTGCTATCAATTCCTCGTGTATTTCATTGGTGTCCGCAGTTCGGGTTGGAGCCAATTCAGTTCTGAGCAGTACAGTACGGATTCTCGTATTCCTAAATTCAGTACTACTCCGATTACCACGTTCATCTAGGGATCCCACTTGAGCGTTCAAGCCTCCAGCGACTACCACAATGTCCGTTGACCGAGCAATTTGGAGCAGTTGAAAGAGGTCCTTGTAGAATTCATCCTTCATTTCTGGTGAACTGCAATCTGTCGGTGTACACGCAGATACGACGAATGAGCATCGACGCTTCGTTCTGTAGCTGTTGATCCGTGTAGAACCATCCAGACGTACGGCGCAAAGTCGGCTGTTAACCAGGATCCAATTGAGAAGTAAACGCTCGGCCTTGACACTTAGCGCAATCCCGACACCAGCAACACCGCGCGCTTCGGATGCGGAGTCATCTGAAATACGGAGAGTGAAGCGTGAGGATGAGGTTGGATCTGAAGAACGCAAGATGATTGAAGTAGGGTCTGGTATGCGTGTTTCGGAGACACAGCATACATCTAAATAGAAGATTTCAAGGGTTCTAGCTAAGATGGCTTGTTGACCGATCTAGTAGAGTGTGCGGACATTAAATACGGCAAAGCGGAAAGGAGATTTTGGTTTCAAAAATCGGATAGCCTCTGCCTGGTTGGCCTCATTATTTGAACACTGGGTGGCACAAAAGGGATGCATCTATTAAGATTTGGGAATGAGAACAGGAAGTGGACTGTTGAGAAAGATGCTTTTCCAAAAGGGTACCTAAGACTTTTGCGCACTGCATACTTCGCGGTTGCCCACACCGATGAAGGAGATTTTCTTCGGGAACCCTAATTGGAGCCTTTGACTCAATAGTCTGACCCACAAGGCAGTGGGGCGTAAATCCAACGCTGGCGTGTGAACGAAGCACCGATGTAGGAGCTTCTAGAGACCTATCACGCAAGGCCTTCAGGTTTCGGTTCAGTTTATTGTTCGATGGTGCGTTGATTATCGGTCCGCTTTTCAGGATCGGCCCTTAGCCTCATGCACCCAATGAGACAAGCGGAACGTGGACGAGACAGCACCTTGTTGGCTGGGGGATGCGCAGCTTGGGTGGAGGGTAGCTGTCCAGTGAAGTGCGAAGACCTCGCCCACCGTCGAGAGGAAGCCTCAGCTGCTCCGCTCCTACATCCATTTAGCGGAGACGGGGGATGGGGGTGGGAGTTAACTGGTAAACTGCCCATCACCGTGTTTATTTACCGGAGTGACCTCTCCAGGGGCGGGTGTGGATAGAAAAAGGAAGCCAGGAGGTGGCCTTGTGAGACTGATCTTCGTCTGGCCTCTACCCATTGACCTTTCAGGCATGATTAGATCAGCCGCGGTGAGGAGCCATCCTGTATAGCTAGCAGGGTCATTGAGGTGCGCAAGCCATCACACCGCGCCAAGGTGCAGTCTCGTCGTGATGGACATTTACACTAAAGCCATACACTATAAGGCTGAACTAACGAGCGGAATCTACAATCCGAGGAGAATTCGTAGATATTTAGTCATAGTTTCTGAGCATGGTCTAACATACTGTAATAAGCAAACTGCTGTCTTGATATTCTTCCAGTCTTCTTAACGTTGGGCTAACACAGAAAACGTTGCACCATGCAATACAGTATCTCCATATATTATTAACCTGTGATCCTTTTTATTTCCATTTGTTGTATATGAGACGGTTTTACAATTACTATTAAGAAAAGGGGAAGTGTCCGATCAACTGAAGCCTGCCTGTTAGCAAGTTGGAAAGGAAAACCCTAGCGGTGGAACAGAACTGCAGTTTATGGGNGCTTAAATTACGGGCCCCTGTGATAGCGTAAGAAGAAAATCACCAAAGTACAACTACAAAAATTAACAGACATATGGTGATTAAAATGCTCACCACAGTTGTTTGAGATTACTTTGATGCCTACTTTAGCACTATTGTACAATTATGGACTCTAAGTCCGTTGTCTATCGAGTACCAGTTTATTTACGAAATTAACAAATACAAGATTACCGCGTGATCGAATGGTACACCAAATGTCACGTGTTCCTCGATTATCGTTTGTGTTCGGCACATCAGTTTCACTCCAGTGTATTTTTCGGGCTCAAGATTCGTGGAACAAGATCAAACCATGCGACGAATAAGGCTATACCAAACTTGGCGATCGCGTGATTCAACCAATCAAGTCCAATATAGGATTATAAATACGTTAGACAAATGAGGTCTCAAAACGATACAAATGACTTGAATCACATGTGTTTTTTGTTGTTGTTATTGTAGTTTCCAATCAACTGTTTGTTTTACTTAGTATAAACTTCATGTTTCTCATTTGTTGACATAAAACTGTCACTTTCACTTAGTTTCAAGTTAATAGCTAACGGGAGAACGTACAATGGGAATAATTATAAAATAAAGAGCTGTTCTACAGAGGCAACATTACCTAAAGTATGGAAAGTGAGTAAATGTGTCGCTGGGTGAGGATAACCAGTAAATTAGTTGAAATATGTTCAACACCAGTC